TATTTTTTTTCCCATGGTGCTTCATGCCCTCTGTTTCGTCCCATTGGTGACTGGGTTAGTGGCTTCTGGATTCCTGAGAGGTGCAAACGCTTCAATGCTTGACCACAAGTCAAAAAGTTGTCAGTTTGAACCCTCCCAGAGGCAACGCAGGAGCCAGGCCTACTGAGCTGCCTTGAAAACGCTAATGAGACAATTTTGCTTTGAACACACTGGCTTTAGTCATGAGCTGAAATTGACTCGACGGTAACTAACAAAAACACAACTAGTGGCTTCTGGTTTCTCACTACAGTACTGAAGGGAATGTTCTCATAGGTCAGTCTTTATACAGATAATTCTGCAAGGACAGGGTCCGCCTGGGAGATTGATGGAACTCAAAAAGGATATGTTTATTAGTTTTTGTTACTGTTCTTTATACTTTTGTCTCTTCGTCTCTATTCCTCAAACACTTGTATTTCCATGTTTTAAAAGGTTAAAATAACTTGAAGTAAGGGTTACTTTTGAGAAGAAGACAATCCTATTATTACAGTTGCAAGTCAAGTGGAGCTGATGCAACAGATGTATGTGTTCATAGACACACACCAAACGCTTTAACTACCTAACATGCTTGATGCATGCATGCTGTACGTATTTTTACAAATGACGCAACCCCTCATGCATTAGTTTTCTATGGGTGTTGTATGTGTATGGTGCATTTTTTTTTTTTTTTTTAGAAGAAGTGTGGTGAATCTGTTTAGTTTGTTAAGGACCTTCGAGTCGATTCTGACTCACAGTGATTCAGCATGGGCTTGACTGGTGGATTTCAACCACTGACCTGTGGTTAGCAGTTTAGTGCTTATCCCACAGTGCTGCACCAGGACTCCATTGGAAATATGATATTATTGTGTGCTGTGGAGTAGGTTCCAACTCACAGCGAGGCTGTAGATCTGTATGGAAGCAGAAAGTCTCATCTTTCTCCACCGGAGTGGCGGGTGGATTCCAACTGCTGATCTTGTGCCTAACCCACTATGCCACCTTTGGGAATGTGATAGGCACTGACTTTAGGATTTTCCAGCCAGAGGTGAATGAGGTGGGGACTGGCTGCTCCCACTACAAGGAGAATGGAGAGAACCAGTATCTGGGATTCCCCTCCAACTCATTCTCAACGCCAACCCATACTTGCTGGTTGACTTTAATTGACTTATGAGCCAAATTGAGAACAAAACAAATTCACCAGCAATTAATCAGTACTCAGATGACCCTGGTGCTTTATTTAGAGAAATAGCTTCATACTTGGCCTTTACTTGGATCACCGTCCATTTTGAAGTCTGGTTTCTTTGATTAGGCCAATGAGGGTCCCACCAGGGAGAAAGGGAAACCATTTGTATGAGGGGTGCTCCAAACGGTTCTTGGAAGAATTTTTCCACGAACCATTTGAAGCCCCCTTATATTTTAATTAAGGAGCCCTGTGCTGCTGTGGGCTAAACGATGGACTGCTAACCCCGAGTTGGCAGTTCAAACCCACCAGCCGCCCCATGGGAGAATGATGACGCTGTTTGCTCCTGTAGGAGCAGTTCGCCTCTGTCCTCTGTAGGATTGCTGTGGGTCGGAATTGACCCATGACAGTGGGTTGATTTTTTGTTTTGTTTTGCTTTTTTAAAAATTTTAATGATCAATAAGATATGATTGAAATAAAGGGAGTTCAACAAAGCTAGTTTTATGAAGATAACAAAAATGCATTGAAACGTCTTTTAATGTTGTTGTAATTACTGACTTGGATTTGAATATACTAGGGATTTGTGAAAAGGGAGTTTGTATCTCAGTATGTTTGACTAACCGATTTTCTTATAATAGCATAAAACACCATTGTTCCTAGGGGCTAGTAGGCCAGCTGGGGGGGTCAGCTGATAGCTTGCTGGATTTCTGATGTCTGCACTGCTGAATCGATTGATCCCTGAGGAGTTCACATTTCCTTTGCTGGCAAGTGCTGGGGCCAGTCGATCCTTTTTAGAGCCTCTCCCTTCCTCCTGAGTTAATAAGGCAGCCCGTTGCCGTGCTTTGAAACAGGGAAGGGCCCGGCTTTCACATGATTTCAGTGCTGGGGATAATGCCTATCGCAGCACACATTGGTCATGACTAGATTCACAGAGGGAGCCTGGTGGCTCTGTAAGGTCAGCAGTGCAAGTCCAGCAGCCACTCTGTGGGAGCAAGATGAGGCTTGCTGCTCCTGCAGAAAGCCTGTACGGAGTGGTTATGAGCCAGAACTGACTGCATGGCAGCACTCACAACAACAAAAGACTCACACACACAACGAGCCAGTGGAGCAAATGGAACCAACTGATGTGGTGGGAGGGACAAGAGAAGTGTGAAAATGGGCAGCTGAGAAGACAGTTGCTGTGTGAAAATAAATCTCAAATGGGTCCAGGTGGGACTGATTTCTACCTAGGGCTGACAGAATGAATTGGTTATTTATTGAGAGTGTGCTTGTTGATTTCTTACTGCCTGTGTCTCTGGTCAGTGCAGTTTTGGAGTCAGAGTGCCAGGAGCTGGCATGGCGCACTAAGGTCACCTGATTCGCTCTTGAATGGGGGTCCCTCCACTCATCTCGTGATGTGGAAACTCATTTCTTTCTCCACGTCACCGGGGAGTTTACTTACCTGCTTGGTTATTTTTAACCACAGAGAGCTTTGCCCCACGAGGCTTCAGGGCCTAGGTTGAAACCGTGCTTTCTGAACCTTCAGTAATATGTCCACAAATGTGGGTACCTCCCTTGACAAGGCTGGAGCAGTCTCAGTTCAGAGATGGGCTGGTGGGCTTCAAGTCCAGTAGCAGTTCAGAATCTTGGTATCGGTTCAGGTGGTATCTGTCGCCCAGCAGGCTACCATCCTACATCGTTTCCTGTTTCCTTGGGTTGATGCTTCTGTTTGTCACTTGCTCTGCTTTTCACACTGTTTCTAGGGAAATAGAAATGACCTTTCTAAGATGAAGGCTCTGTGACAGGGAATGCCGATGGTGGCTTTTGATGTAAATTTTTCTGGTTTGTGTGAGCCCTTACTAAAAGTTTGTTGTGATTAAATACCGTCAAATCTGTTCCAACTTACAGCGGCCCTATATAGGGTTTCTGAGGAGTAGCTGGTGGATTTGAACTGCCAACCTTGTGGTTAGCAGGCCAGTGCTTATCATACAGCGCCACTCCAGGACTCCCTGAAAAGTTAAGAGATGTATTTATTACCCAAAAAAGCATTCTAGGTTTTAGAAAGTTGGGAACAGTAGAGCAGTTGGCCACGGAGGCCTCGCTGCTATGAATTTGTGTCGCTCTCCACAGCCCGGCCAGTAATTCAGTCTCACACATCTTCTGAGTCTCCCTGCCTTCCACACCTTCCACCTGGAATGTTTCCTGTTTCGGTGATCATTCTGGACCATTCATGTTTTAAAAATTTGGGTTTATTGGCCATGACTGCACCCTGCCCTCATCAGCCTGGTGCAGCCACGAACTGGCCTGACCAGAATGGATTGTTCTGCATTCTTACCCCAACTTCTCCTCTTAGAGTCTCCATCTTTCTTTCATGGACCATTTCCTTCCTAGCCTCTACTCGGAACAGAACAATACAGTGTAAAAACTACTTACTTATGAAATAATGTGTTTTCTAATGTTCAACCTGCAGTCAAATGATTTGAAAATCAAATTTGGTTGATTTCTCTTTTCATTCTTTGGTTGGGTCAGTGTTCGTATAAGAAAAACTTTTATAACTTAATATAGAGTTTGACCAGGGAAGGTGCTAGCAACAAAGAGTACATTTTAGTGCCTCCTCAAGCATTGGACTGCTAGCTGCAAGGTCAGTGGTTCAAACCCAGCAGCCACTCTTCAGGAGAAAGATGAAGCTAGAGGCTGTTTGCTCTTGGAAAGATTTACATTCTTAGAAACCCAATATAAGTCACTGTGGTTTAGTGAATTATCTGATGTCTCTTCTAGCCATAGTCTGTTGTTGTTGTTGTTAAGTGTCATCAAGTCAGTTTTGACTCATAGCGACCCTGTGTAGGGTTTCTAAGGAGAAACTGGTGGGTTTGAACCAATGATCTTGTGGTTCAAACTGACCTTGTGGTCCAATGCATTATCCTACAGTGCCACACCAGGACTCCCCAGCCAGTCTGCAACTCCTACCAAACAGCATTTCTGGTCTGCTGGGTCTGGGTGGAGAAGGTGGGAGAAGATACTGATAGGATGACACGCTTCAGCTGTGGATGTTAGCAGAGTTCTTAGTAATTGTGAAAACTTGAAACTCTAGCGCAGGTTTAAAATGAGTCATCTCAGAAGCGGAAGAGGGGGTCTCACTACCAACAAGAAGAAAGAGCCACGAGTGGAGTGTGTCTTTTGGACCCTGAGATCCCTGTGCATTGATCCTCCTCGGCCCAAGGACAGAAAGCTTTGACATCAGATGAAGGGCAGAGGAGCAGCAGTAGCAGAACCAGGAACCAGAACACCAGACACAGCAGGGGACTTCCCGGTCAACGGAGCAAGAACAGCCCAGTGACTCTGGGCAGGAAGGAAGCTTGCTTGTAGAGTGGGGTTCCTCCAGGCACTTAAATGGGGGAGCTAGGTGTGCTGGCCCACGGAGCTAGAGCCAAGTGCCTTCAGGCTGAGGTTGATGGGGGAGTGGTGTGCCCTGTGGGCATTTATCAGCAGCTGACTGGAACACCTGTGCTCTGAGCAGTTCTGACCCCAAAGGGTAACCTGTTAACTTCCTTAATAAACCCCATAACTGTGTGAGTGTAGTGTTTTCTGAGTTCTTTGTGGCCATGGCAACGGATTATCAACCCCAGCTGAGGAGTAGAGGCGATGTGAGAGGAACGGTTGGTACTACACCTGTTTTGCAGTCACTGTGCGTCGGAACCAACTCAGTGGAAGTGGGTTTGATTTGGGTTTCAGTAGCCTGAGGAAAATACAAGAAGAATGGATTCGCTTTGGAGAGATTTTTAATCTGAAGATAACATCAAGCTGTTGGTGTCTGTGTGTCTGCTTTCAGGCTGAGAATCCCCCGGATGGACCAGGGTGTGGATACGGCTCCTTCCACCAGCAGTACTGGCTCGACGGGAAGCTCATCGCTGTGGGGGTGATCGATGTCCTTCCGTACTGCGTGTCGTCCGTGTATTTATACTACGACCCTGACTACTCCTTTCTGTCCCTGGGCGTCTACTCTGCACTGAGGTAAGGTTGCTTTGGGATTGGCTAGAACTTCAAATCACTCCTCATTGAGTTCTGTTTTATGACGTAACGGTAGGAATCCTATTTGGTTGTTTTTAAGTGCCGTGAAGTTGGTTCCAACTCATAGCGACCCTGCCTATAGTTTCCGAGGCTATACATCTTTGCAGGAGCAGAAAGACTCATCTTCTCCTGCAGAGTGGTTGATGGGCTTGAACCACTGGTCTTATGGTTCGTAGTCCAGTGTGTTATTGTATGGAGCCACCTTGCTCCCTACTTGATGTAGTACATAATAATGGTTTGTTACAATGGAAGCAGTCTAGTCTCACATTACTACGTGGGAGTTCTACTATTAAGACCTGATCATTCTCCCATCTTTTAGGGTATCCGTCTAGTGGCATGCACGAGAAGACAGTTTGTGTAGTGCTTTTGTTGTTAAGTTTATTCCTGGATAAGCTCCCTTGTTAGAATTTACATTTCTTGAATGTAACTTACATTCATTTTTGTATCAACATTATCAAATACATATTTTTAATTAGTAATTCTAACTTTCTGATGCAATGTTAGTCTGTTAGAAGAAATAGTGCTAGGAGTGTACAGAGTAGGGCTGGGAGCTGCGGACCCTATGACCTTTGCCAGGAAGTGATACCCATTTATGTCTACTGCTACAGATGTTGGTAGTACAACGTAAACCATTGTAGGTGCAGGATCTAATGATAAAATTGAGTTGTAGTTCATAAAAACATTTGTCTCTATTTTTATTTGCATTCCTAATAGAGCTTTGTGGCACATTGGTTAAGTGCTTGGCTGCTAACCATAAGTTCGAACCCCCCATTAGTCTGTCTCTCTGTGGGAGAAACATGTGACAGTCGACTTCTATAAAGATCTATTGTTGTGAAGTGCCGTTGAGTTGGTACCAACTCATAGCAACCCTTTATAAGGTTTTTGAAGAGCAGCTGGTGGACTTGAACTGCCGACCTTGTTGTGGATAGCAGTCCAGGGCTTATCCTATAGCACCACACTAGGACTCTAAAGATTACAGTCTTGGGAATCTAGAGGGTCGCTGTGAATAGAAACAATACCACAGCGGTAGGGTTCTTGCTCTTCCTCCTTGTCTCTGTCTGTATGGTGGTAGAGGGGGAAGGTGGGTGGGGAATTCTTTTTCCTTTGTTTGGCCAGGCACTTGACGTTTTGTCTCCTTCTATATCATGGTGGTGTTTTTATCTCTCTACATTTTGTATCTGATGCTCATATTTGTCAGGTAATGATAAAATGTGCTTGTGGATTATTTTATTTATTAAATTTGCATCCTTAATTATAGAAGTAGAAGAGTTGATGTTCCTCTTTAATCAGCAATTTGATTTGAAAAAAATCTGGGTAATACGGATTTTCTTTTTTTTAAAAGCATGTTTCCGTGGCTACTAGATAAAAGAGGTTTGTGTGTTGGTATTTTCAGTCTGACTCTTAATACCCAATTATAATAAACTCACAAATATACAGTGTTTTTAACTAACATCTATAATGATCTTTTATTTTGTGATGTATTTACATGCACTGTTTGGATTAAGCCATTCAAAAGCACTTGGGGCTTTCCATGATCTTACTAAAATTAGAGCAGAGAATTTAAAGTACTCACATTTTTCATAACATTACAAGATTGCATTTATTCAAATTATATAGTTTTAGAAGTTTACATTTACTTAAGAAAAGGGCACATCTTCTTTGTACCCATTTCAGCCAATACTTCAAAATTATTGCTGTGTTTTTTGTTTTTTTTTAAAACCTTTCGTTTAACAATGTGTAGTTATAGATTGTTCTAGGTTCTTCCAGATAAGCATTGAGAAGGGTATTTATTTCTTATATAATAAGCTCAGCCTCTGTATGAAATCTTGTCTGATGCTCAATACACTGTGAGGTGGCTTGGAAAAGCAGCTACATTTGAGGCAGAGATCATCAGTCCAATTAGGAAGAGTTCTACTGATGGCGTGGTTTCGCTCGTGGGGGTCTCTGAGGCTGTGGTGGAGGTGGCCCTATATCACTGTCTTATCACTTTCTCCCCGAGAACAGGAGCTGCTGAGTTTATACACTGGGGAAGGCAGCCAGGAGCTTGACATGTTGAAGCAAAAATTGGGGCGACTAGTTACAAGCTAAGGAGCTTGGTTGCGTAGTGGTTATGAATCGGGCTGCTAACCTCAAGGGCAGAAGTTCGAAACTACCAGGTGTCCCCTGGGAGAAAGATGAGGCTTTCTGCGCCCCTAAAGATTTTATAGCCTCGGAAACCCTGTACCAGGGTCACTATGAATCGGAACCGACTCCATTGCACGTAACCACCACCACCACCAGTTACAGCTGCAAGCTCTGTAACTGATTTTAATGACTTTCAGTGAAACTTATGTAGTTGGTTTTTCCTCAGTTTCTTCAATAGTCATACAGTCAGTATAATGTTTTAGATTTTTATGTAATGTCCTCTATAGATTTAAAAAACAAAAATGTTTGAATTGGGGATCATGAATATGGCTGTTGTTTGTATATTATAGCAAGATGAATTTTAGAAATGTCATTGATGTAACAAATACTTAACTGAGCACAGTCTTGGGATCCTGGCTCTGCTCATAGATCTGAATAAGACAGTGTGTCTAGCTATGTCAGGTACACAGCAAGTTAGAAAAGCCCACACCATAACTGTAGCTGCTCCACAGAGCATTTAGGGTAAGAAAATCAGTCATGGGGATAGATACAGGGTCTGCAAAGATCTGAATGAACAGATGACATGTTGGGGGAGAAGCTAGACATCAGGAAATGTGGCAAGTCCATGTGCCCTCCCTGAGAGGACATTGCTCAGCATATTGGGATACCTGAATCATAGGAAGCAGGTGGCAGTAGTGAGGAGGAGGGGACAGATGGAGCAGGACTGAGAGGGAGCTTGGATTTTATCAATGTTGATGCCAGTGGTATGAGGAGGCAGAGGGAGGCCACCCAATGTGATTAACCTTGAAAGAGACCCCTTAGACTGCTGAGGGTTGGAGCCAGGAGTGTAAGCAGGAAAGCCAGTTGGTAGTACTATCCGAGGTGGCGGGTGTCGGCAGTGAGAAGTGGTCCTACTCATGGTAGACTTTGGAGGTAAAGCCAACAGAGCTTCCAGGTGTGTCGGGCATAGAAGTGAGAGCAAAGGAACCAGTGGGGCGGCTCAGGCTTAGAGCAGGAAGAGCTGGATGGAGGACCTGAGCCAGGCCGGACTCAGGGAAGGAGCACCATGGCAGTCAGTGCTTTCTGTTACAGTTGGCTGGTCCCAAAGTTGTTTGGGTCCGCGTGTTCCTTCCTGATCGTGAACCTTAAGTGCGTCAGTTCTAGAAGTAATAGGATGCATTCTCTAATGGCCTAATGTTGTCTCATCTGCTGGGATTTATAAAATGTTTTTATTGTAAAGATGAAGTTTTAGGGAGGCAATCCTTCAAAGTTTTTTTAAATTTGAAAACTGCTAAGTGTACAGAATATATAATAAGAATAAATACATTTCTCATGAATTCCAAGCATCCATTGTTTTCAAAAGGAAAAAAAGGAAAGAAAAACTTCTAGAAGCAACCATAAAAACAAAACAAAGGAAAAAAACCCAGTTTTCCTCATACTTAAGAAGTGTGCTGAAAGTTTGCTTAAAACTGTCAAACATAAACAATTGGTCATCTGGTCTCACAGGATGAAACTGTGGCCAGATCTGGATACAGATAGAACCAAGCATAGGCACTGCAGGCTGGGTGCTGACAGTCTTTGTTCCAACAGTCTTTACCTAGGCCAACAAGTAGAGAAAAAATGGGGAAAGATGGTCATTTCCCCCCTCTTTAGTTTTAGGTATTAAGGAAGCATTCAAGTTGTAATTGGGTATAGGAGTCTTCCTTCATGTGTCACTGTGGGTTAATGAGCTGGAATACAAGGTCGGTTTGAACCACAAAGTCACCGGTCGCTTCTTGGAAACCCTATACGGGGTCGCTATGGGTCAGAACCCACTTGATGGCATTTGACAGCAATTTGGAATAGGAAGGAGTTATGGATCATATATAGCTGAAAGTATTTGCATGGAAATAGTCATGATGATAATTATTCCCATAGTAAATACTGGAGTCCTGGTGTGGTGCTCTGGGTTAATGCGCCAGACTTCAAAGTCATTTGAATTGCAAGGTTGGCGGTTCAAGCTCACCAGCTGCTACTCAGAAACCCTATACAGAGTCATTATGGGTTGGAACCGACTCAACGGCACTTAACAACAACAACAAGTGTGGTGCTGTAGGATAAGCATTGGTCTGCTAACCGCAAGGTCGCCACTTCAAACCTATCAGCTGCTCTGCGGGAGAAAGATGAGGTGTTCTGCTCTCGAAAAGGTTTACAACCTCAGAAACTCTATATAGGGCCACAAGTCGGAACTGACTTGATGGCTGTGAATAAGGTTTTGTAATAAATAGTTTCTTCTGGAAGTCTTGTTTTCTGAAGTTTGTTCCGTACTGTGTTTAACCTGTGAGTAAATCCTGACGCTCTGAGAACTCCAGCACATAATGAATAATAACCAGAAACTTCATTAAGTAGGTCTTTTTAATTTTCTGCTACTTGAATTTTAGATCAGCTACTTGACCCAATAACATGTAAAACCTGTAACTTAGATACATTTTTTGAAAGTAATTTAGAGTTTTATTGATATCCCTTTCATAAAAGTCATCTTAGCTATGGTTTTTAAAAAATTGGTTTTCTTTCAAGACATGGATTTTTTGAGGGACTGATAACCAGATTTCATCAGATATTGGTCATAAATTACAGTTATCTAAATATTGGAAACAATTAAATACATCTTTGCCTTTTTCCCTTTCTTTTGGCAGAGAAATTGCGTTTACTAAGCAACTTCATGAGAAAACGTCTCAACTCAGCTACTATTACATGGGATTCTACATTCATTCATGTCCCAAAATGAGATACAAGGTAAAATCGATTTTACTTCATGCATGCGTCTGCTTATAAATTCAAGTGATGAAAATGAGTGTATTGGTGTTTTCATAGTTCTTTGTCATACTCATTTATTTTGCTTGTCCCCTCTAAATGTGTCTTAAACTTTTCTTAGAAGCACTCATTCGTCCACAGCAGCTTCCTTGCTTAGAACGATGCTTCACACCTGCACAGTTAATAAATATCTGCTTGATGAATTAAATCGGGAGTGACGGAATAAATATCTAGAAATTCCGGATTGTCTGGAAATTTCAATTGGGCCCGTTTCCTTCTGGCTCCTGGGTAGCTGCAGGAAACCCACTAAGAAATCCTCCTTCTCTTAGTGCCTCGAAGCCTGCCTTCCCTCCTCCAGCCACTGGGGTCTAGCCTGCTTGCCTTTGCAATGGTCGCAGACCAGAAAACAGGGAGCTCAATGTGCAATCACGGGCTGTTTCCAGTGACACAGTATTTGCAAATGTTTGTTAGGTTTTCACTGTTGAAAAATGAGTCTTAAAGTATGTGTCTCGGGGCACAGGAGGAGAGCTGTGCTTACTGTAATGGGTCCCAAGTCCTTCACCACCCTGCTAAGTCATGGTTTGATTGTGAGATTTCAGTGTTAGAAGCGGACTTGAGTGTGAGCCCTTCTACACAAAACTGTTTTGAGAGTAGTGTGGGTAACTTGCCGGGAATGTGTTCGTAACTCATATCTTTCTTCAATGGTCGTTCTCTCATCCCAGTTCCCTCAGCCCACGTTTCTTTATGTCTAAGCTAAAGTCTTCAATTCATTTCTGCTCTCCGTGGTTAGTGGAAATGCTGAACATTCATCATCTCTTTCCTCTTCCTGAGGCTTTTAACTCACACCTTTGTTGACGCTCGTCCAGCCTAAATATTTGATGTTCTTTAGCTTTCTCCCTAGGTAGAGCTCAGTTTGGAAAGTGGAAGTCTGGCCCATATCTCGTTTTTGGTTAAGGTTTTAAAAAATGTCCTCCATGATGTTTAATCTGGCATAATCGTATCCAGCTTAAATCCATCAGAATGATAGTTTCAGAACATTACTTTCTTTGTTTTTTATTTCAGCAGCAAGAACAGGCCCCTCAGGTCCTCCTCCCTCCCCCACTCCCCCCCACCCCATACCTGCTTGCCCTTTGACGTACGTTCTTCCCTTGTTCATCAACTATTGATTGAGTTCTACTAGAAACACAGCTGGAAACTGGAACAGTGTGTTGAGACCCTAGTCTCAGAGAACTTTCTGAGGACTCAAAGGTAGGCTGACATTTGAATGGTGCTAACAGGAAGATGGAAGTGGGGGGGGGACATTTCCAGAAGAGACAGAGGGGCCAGCTAGGGAGTGACAGTACCTCTTAGCTTTTTTTTTTTTTTTAAGAGCTTTATTGTGCATTGAGTGATAGTTTACATGGAAGAACATTGGTTTTGCACTCAACCTATTGTATTTTGTTTCAGCGCAATGATTACAATCCCCTCCATGCATCATCGGTTAACAGTATTTGCTTCTATTCTCTCTGTTTTGTTTATTATTATCATTATTCTATTCTCTCTATTTATTATTATTATTATTTTATATACATAAAAACACATAGGAAATGTGTAATCATTTAAACAACCAAAGGGCACATTCTGCAAGCCTGGCTCCTGGCCACCAGCACACAGCCTTTCTCTTTTCATGAATCTAGGGTCCTCAGCTGCTCCCTCCTCCGTGTCCCCATCTCTGCCTCCATCTCTGGTGTTGCTGCTTCTCTGGATAAAGTCCCACATTCCGCTTGTACTCTTCTCCCTTGATGGTTCTACAGTCCTCTGTTCCTGGAATGGAAGATTAACTACTCCCCTTTTTGTTACACAACTTCTACCATTACAGTTATGACAGTCGCAATTAGTCATGATGACAATTACTATTGAATCAAAAGAGTCCTAGCCCCATCTCCTTTCACCAGACCCATCTAGACAAGGTGAAAATGATTCAGTGGGAATTCTACCTTCCCCTGCACACTCTGAAACTAAACTCCCTCTTGAAAACTTGTAAGCCAGCCACTTTGTGCCTTTATAGCCTCCATTTCTTTCCCCAAGCTCTTAAAGGCTGTCTCTTGTCGATATATTCTGTGAAGGTCTGATGAGGTTTGCTGTCCCAAGTATGTAACAGTGTGCCAGGCACTGAGTAGATGACTAATATTTAATAGACTCCTGTTGAATTCTTCAGTGAGACTACTTCTCAAGGGCTGAGAAATTGGAGGATTCTGAGAAACACCTTTGTTTAACAAATAACTTGTGGAGGACGATGGGTAACTTCTGCTTTTCAAAGAGGTTGTTGTTGTTAAAGTGCCAGTGAGTGGGTTCTGACACATAGCGACCCTATATCGGGTTCCCAAGGAGTGGCTGGTGGGTTTGAACTGCTAACCTTGGGGTTAGATGTCCAGTGCTTATCCTATGGCGCCACCCCAGGCTCCATTCAAAGATGTTATAACTTGGTAACATCTAAGATATGTTAAGTACATGACAGAGTATGCTGAAGTATCCTGGTAGCCAAGGGAAATAGTGATGGAAGAGTGTGTAACGGTTTGGAGAAGTTGCTTAACAATCAGGCGCTGTTTTTACAATTTCAAAATGGATTTGAAGTTGGAACAAGAGACTGAATTACTGGCTCCTAGTCTCTCTAGTTGGGTAGCATAACTAAATCCTTATCTGGGCTTTTGCTGGAATCCAGCCAGGTTCTGAGCTGTGTGCTGGTAAATGGCGCCCAAACACAATGGCAATGCCTGAACCTGCTATTCTCCAGACTTCTGAGTTTAGATGCTGGAGAAGAAGAGAAGGTTGTGTTAGTGGGTACCCATGCTGCCGCTCTGAACAATCCCAGAATCGTGAGCATTTGCTTCTGGCTTAGAGAGCAGTGCTGTGAATCACACGAGGGGTTTTGACAATGTGGGGAACCTTCAGTAACAAAGTCTGCTGGGGCAGAGTGGCTGTCAACTTGGGCTTTCCCTGGTTGCTGTGGTTGTTAACGTGCTCTGAATCAATCCCGACTTGTAGTAACCTTAATAAAGGTTTCCGAGGAGTGACTGGTGGATTTGAACCACCAACTTTGAGGTTCAAACCGACCTTTCAGTCCAGTGCATATCTTGCGACGCTACACCAGGACTCCATTTAGGTCCCCACCCCCCTCCGCCCTCCCCCCAAAAGTCTCTTAGAGCTTCAATATTTGTCTCTGGAATAATTTGTCTATTTTGCTCCGTTAGGGTGAGGAGAATTAGGTACTTTTGCCAGAACTCCAAAGTGTCTCATTACTAATGACAGACTGAGCAGTATTTAGCTCATGACCATTTGCATCAGAAAAGTATGTCTTTTATGCCAGTCAGTGTGTCCTGTTCCTTGTGGCGCCCCACAAGCTGAGTCATGGGCCGTAAGGAGGACCTAGTTGGGGCTGTGGCAAGATACAGTAAGTCAGGGATTTGGTCCCTATTCCATGTGCTGTATCAGCATAGTACGTCTGCTCTGTTTGCCTAAGGATAAAGACAGCACTTCAGAATGATTGGTGTTTCTGACAGTGAGTTCCTGCATCTCTCAAAGAGTTGAGAGCCCCGGGTGTAACTTTGATTGTACCCATTGACTGGCATTAGAACCAAGTGATAAGCTAATAGAAGTATCAGTACAGGCAGATTGCTCCTCCCATGAATAGAATTAAGCCAACATGAAGACTAAGGTTCCAGGTGGAAGCCACTTCCCGGTATTTTCCAGGGATTTTGTTTTCTAAATCATAAATCCTGAAAAAAGTAGATAGAAAAATGAGGAGACTAGGGGGAAGTCGTCTTTCTCCCTCAAGATGAAACCTTAACCCTCAACATAGAAAGGTTAGTGGTTTAAAGCAATCCACTGACACCTCGGAACCCAGTGCAGGAAACGCAGCCACACAGCTGACAACTGATGCTAACACTCCCAGGTACCGGGACGGGAGCACCGAGCACACAACAGCTCTTTCTCCTGTGGCAGCTGCCATGTTTTCCAGCGTTTCTGCCGGTAACAATGCAAATAATGATGTCTGTTACATAAGTATTAATACGTTTATAAATAAGGTGTATATAACACAAATCACAGCTCCTGTCTATGCATGGTGGTCTGAGAAATGACGAGTGTTGGAAGTAAAATAACTCCATCAATTGACAGTTTCCACTCATGATTCTGTGAAGTGCTGGGAACTTGCTAGGAGAGCCAAAGGCTGCCTATTCATAGAGTCCCTAAATGTTCTCGGCCATCGCCCAAGCTATAAGCTACAGTTCTTTGTAAATACTACTGAATTGTTTCTTATTTGTTAATCAACTTTTAAGACATCCATAAATAATGATTAAAGAGCCTGAAGAATGTTGAAAACATTTTAAGAATGATTAATGATTTTGAGAATTTCCATGTTTCACTCCTAAATATCCAAAATTATTTATCTCATGGGAATTTGGAAACAATGTTGTCTAGTTGTCTAGTGCTGCCACAGTGACTGGCTTTAACAAACAGAAATTTATTCTCGCGGTTTAGGAGGTTGTTGTTGTTAAGTGCTGTTGAGTCAGTTCTGACTCATAGCGACCGTGTATAGATGGTTTCCAAGGAGCGACTGGTGAGTTTGAACCACCAACCTTGTGGTTTAAACCGGCCTTGCTGTCCAGAGCTTTACCCCACAGTGCCACACCAGGAGGCTAGAGGTCCAGATTCTGGTGAAAGTGCTTGTCTCCTTTCAACATCAGTAGGCCCAGCATTCCTTGGAGCTCGCCATTCATCTTGGTACCAGTCTTCCCTGGATCTCGGAGCTTCCTGGTGCAGGCCTATAGGACGCGCTCCACCCTCAACCCCCTGTGGTGGTGGTGCTGATGCTGGGTCTCTCGGCGCTCAGCTCACTGCTTTCATTTAATCTCTTGTAAGAGAAAAGTATTGTGTGCCACAACCCATGAAATCTCCCATTCATCGGATCAGATTCCTGGTGGGATTAAGTAGTGGTGTGGCAC